AGGTGGTGATGTGAGTATGTGTATACATATGTGTGCTGGGTATGAATGAATGGATGCATGGAGGAGTGGAGGGATAGAGGAGTGAAAGAGTATAATTATAAGTTATCTTTTTGGGAGTTGGTTAGAGACTAGAGGGGAAGGTTAGGGGGGATTGGGGTGGATGGATGGATAGATGGATATGGAGATATTTATTTTTGATTATTTTTGATTCTTTAAGGGTGCAAAAAAGAATAGGATCCTGGGGATATATTTCATATACACTTCGTAAAACTTTATATTTTGATCAATTATCTGTTACGACGGCGTAACATAACCCGCATCAGGTAACCAATTAGTTAGCAGGATCATGTGATAAGTGTCACCTGATCCGAAAGCCGATCGACTCCCTGAGAATCGATCGGCCCTGAGAATCGATCGACTTTCAGAACACGAAGGTCTATATAATCAAGATGGATTTCCTTTGTATAGAGCTTCGTGCTCAAGATCAATCATTTTAGTATACTCTACTATTAGTTACGAATTGCATTATTGTCATTACTTTAAGTCCCTGCTTGACTGTTACGAGGTTTGCCGTCTAGATCACGTGGAAGTGCTCTAGGCTCTCGAAGTAGGTTTATAACTAGGCGTCAAGCAGGGACTTGAAGTAATGACAATAATGATATGCAATTCGTAACTAATAGTAGAGTATACTAAATGATTGATCTTGAGCACGAAGCTCTATACAAAGGGAATCCATCTTGATTATATAGACCTTCATGCCTATGGCTAGTCAGGACCGCGCAGCGCGCCTGGACAGCCAGCGTTCCTCAGCGGTCCATAACGTGACTTTAATCACGTTACCTTGGTTTAGTCATGTGACGCGGCATAGAAGATAGCCGTTGTAACATTGACGCCTAGTTATAAACCACCTCGAGAGCCTAGAGCACTTCCACATGATCTAGACAGCAAACCTCGTAACATTTGATTCATTAATTGTTGAAATATTAATAGGTGAAAATCGTTATTTTTGATATAAAAGAGTGGCCTATATTAGAGATGGCCCAGAAAGAGAGTACTAGACTTATATTAGATACTGAGAATATATTTTATATATATTTCGTAAGACTTTATATTTTGATAAAATATCTCTTCCTTTTGGATTTATAAAGATTATATGTTATGAGAAAGTCGGGATTTCGAATTATATACATAGAGTCTCTATAGATATCTAATCATATAATCCCTAATAATTAAATATAAAAGAAAGCCTTTTCCTTTCCCTCTTTGAAAATTAATCAACTTTTTATATTAATCTTTTACCCTATATAATTCCAACCTCGAATCTATTATGAAAACAATTATTCTCTTAAATAATATATTACAATATAATTTAATCAGCTTTCTCCTCCATTTTCCCCTCACAGAATATTATCAAGACACACATATCTCGACCTACTCCTTTTATAATATTTATGATTTCTTTTTTAGCTTCCAGCAAATGTATACTCGAAAATCCTGAAAATGCATTCCTGAACTCAAGCTATTTCCATCAATATTCTTTTCGTTTTGATAGTCATCTAAGATCTTATATTAATGCCTTGTCTACGATATATATAAATTTTCCACAATATACAGTGATCTTGATTTCCGCATTGAAAGATTAATTTAAAGGGATTCAGGAATATTTTCGTCTTTTTCCTGAATATAGGTAATAAGATTACTTGTTTGGGAAATGGATTATGAGTATTAGAGAGAAAAATGAAAGAGAGTAAAGAAGGGATAGTAATAAAAGAAGATATAAAATTATTAAACCGCGATTTTTAATGCGCTTTTAGAAGATAGAAAGGAATTTGTTCTATGGATTGATAGTAGGTGTGAAATAGGTTGAGGATGTGGATGGGGGTTGAAGGACAGGAAATAGAGGATAGATTCGGATTGGACTGAGAACGTGGTGGGAAGAGGTCAATGAAGTGAAGGAATAGGAAAAAGGAGGAAGGGGAAGAAGAAATTTTAAATTAAAGAATTAAAGAAATGTTAATGATCATATCTAAACTGTTAATATAAAAGACAGTCAGTGTTGCTATTATACCTATATTATTTTATAAAATAATCCAGATTTGAAAAGGGGGAAGAGGAAGGAGGGATGGGGAGGGGGAAGAAGAAGAGGAGTTAAAGAAATGGAAGGTACTTTGGGATGCTGGTTGAAGGCGCAGAAGGGAAGTTTGGATTAGGGAAAAGTGTTGTAAAGGGAATAAATATACTTTTTAATTAATTGTATCGCTAACTAACTATAGTTACAGTTAGTTATGGGGAAATGAGGAGGTGAAATGGAGCGAGTATTGTGATCATATTTGTAATGTTCGAATTCTTTACACTGCTCAGTGATAGCCATTGATTAATTCGATGGTGTCAGATAATTAACAAGACGATGAATATTTCGGGAATTCTTTCATACTCCTTGACAGATTAATTTTGATAAGGTATCTAGAATAAAATATTTACCAGTATTGATTCATTTTTGAATGGGATTCTAAAGTATGACTTGTATCAAGATTCCTCGCTTATATGTAAATCTTATATTTCTACATCACAACATCACTTCAACACATATTGGTAAGAGGACAAGATAAGCAACAAGGGAAAGAAAGTATAGATGTTTCTAATTTGAACCATCAGGTAAACGGTTCACGATTGCGTATAGGGTGGTGGGTTAGGGAGGGAGAAGTGGATAGAAGATACGGCAGAGCTAAAGAGAAGTTGATTTGGAAGATGATTATAAATGTGTGAAGGGAAATTAGACTCGCTTTGATCGCTTGATCGCTAGAAAAGAGATCCTTGGGAAGGCAATGAGAGTAACTTGATTGAAGGGATTGTATTCATCCCTCTTGCCTCACACGTATACACTCTCAAGTTAGATTCAGAAATCGTGGTTAGGAAATGAACCAACAATATTACTCAAACAAATCATACTTCAACATAAGATTGCATGTAAATCTCAAACCTCGTGAGTGCCTTCAAATCACATCCATTACACCCATCCAAATCCTCGTCATGTGCGCCTTCTCCGCCTTCTTCAACTAGCGTCGAGCAAACTCACCAGCTCATACGTCACTTCCCAAACTTAAGATAAAAGAAATTGATACAAGAGAAAAATGTTCTCCGTAAGTCTGTCATGATCAGCAGCACTGTAAAGGGACATTCCAATAGTATATCTCGCTCCAGAATCGATGAACGATGGTAAGTCAACCACTGAGCAAAAAATCTTGATCGCGTGATATCCACAGAAATGGTCAAAGAGGGGCAAGAGGGGCAGGATTAGGAAAGACGGATAGAGTTTAGTGAGATGAAGGGCGAGATGGAAGGAACGACGGTGGGTACTGGAGGTGCTGAGATTGACTCAAGACATTTAGCGTTGGGAAACAGAGGAGCGGAGGGGCGAAAAGTGCTTACGAAATAGATTGGCCAAATGGAGCAAAGAGCTTGGAAGAAGACAGACGTAGAAAGCGAAAATGAGAAGATAAAAGCTCAATGAGGAAAGGGAGGCCCGCAACGATTTGATACGCCACATGACACTTTGACAACTTTAATCACAGCCGCTAAGCCTAAGAGTGATTCTTGAAAGGCCGGAAAATGGTGAATTGCAAGTGGATCGAAGTTATATGGTGGGTGAAGTGGGAGTTTTCTTTACTCTTACTCTGTATATTGTTAGGTGTAGGCAGGAAACTTTTCAGAACGAGATAATGTTAGATGGTCTGGGAATATCAATACCTATTTTTATCGCAAATGAATATTCTGAATACTCATCATCATTGACTCGTTGGTCATTCCGTAACAACACGGAAATTTTTCGTCTTTTCTGTTCTAGCCACATTACTTCTCCAAATCATAGTGATATACTAACCAGCACTTTTCGGTAGTGGACTCCGCCAACGCGATGATCTCCCGCTTCTAGATTTCCGGCTTCCCCATCGAGGAGGACCTTCAGTTCACGTGAATGTGTTTTGTTGCACATCTCATTCACTGCCCCTACCGCATAGTACCATTTCTCCTCCACACAAAGCGTCCATTCCAAGTAGATACCGTTTTGGTGCACGTTTGATTTCCTTTCCCTACCATGTGGTCAGTTCTTTCACGACGATCTTTCCCCATCAGACTACATTCTAGGTTGTTTGTTGCACATCTCATTCATTTACCCCACCTGTAGTCGATTTTATGGCTGTATAAAAACCTATTATTCTCAGTCTCTGCGAGCAAAAGGTTTCACCATCGGGAAAATGCTTATGGAGTAGAAGACGCCTTAGATATAGTTGGCCAGTTTCCATGTTACAGCTTCCTCAACACTTGATCAAATATGGGAACAAAAGAGCCCAAATCATCATGTAACACCAAGCATAAGAGAAATTTACATAATATCGAGGAGATTCGGTTAAAATGATAGACACGCTAGGTAATCTACTACTCCGTTAGCTTCAGATCGGAAAAGCTTAAACGAACCTTACTAGTATGACAGGTAAAAAATGACCAAGCCACTTGGAAAATTACCAACGGCTCAGAGCCCGGTTCACATAAAGCCATCATCTACTTTGAATCGATCACGTAATGTATCCTTATCCTAATACATGCTAACCTAAAGTCATTTAGTTCACGCGTTTCAGGAATGGTTCATCCAAACCGTTCAACTCAAAGCTTCGTAGTTCGATCTAGGGTGGTTGTGTAGCTTGAACCTAGTTCCCTATTAGGACGATAGCCACATATATCAAATTCCCAAGGCTTCGTGAATGATTGGATAGAATTTAAGAATCCGAGGGGATTGATTGGGTGCTTCATACAATTTCGCACATACTAAGCGAGCTCAGTGTGCCATTTGACGGAATGTGCGAAATAATTCCATTACGAAAAGCTTTGGACATCAAAACCTGCTCAATGGATCAGGCGGCGCCGATGTCTACATTTCAGCCTAGAGCTCGCATATGGCATACACATAGGTGTCCTTGAAATTTTGAAGCCAGCTCTCATTTACAAATGCCGTGATTGAGTCTAAGAAGGCATAAAATGAAGCTAATGACTATGAATCCAATGAAAGCCAAGTGGTGGAGGGCCTTGGAAAGCTCAGTTAATATGTAGTATATCTGCTGGTAGATAAGGAAATGGATAGTAGTTAGACCATTTGTCAAATTATCATGAAACCAAGGACAATCTTGACCCAGAGGATGTTAGTATTCCACACCAAGTCCAACAGTGACATCTTCGAATTTCTAGTTTGTTCTAGTTTGTATATTTCGCTCCTCTACTGGAAAGTTCATGGTCGGACTGTCCGCATTTGAACGCTTGACTCAGGAGATAGTATTGCACTGGCATCTTTAGGGAAATTTACACTTTGTCGGGTCACTTTGAATCTTTCATTACCACATAGAATGGCGTAGCTCCATCTAGCATCAATCTCTCAAGTATATACACCCGAACTCCCAAAGTTTTGCTCTTTTTCTTCATCTCTAGACATCATCAAACATCATATTATATCACATCACATCATATCCTATCACATCCTATCCTACCCTGTCCTATTCTATTATAATATATTATGTTTTATCTTTTAATATTATAACATAACTTATCATATCACATCTACTTATTCAAAAAATTTCAAATACCTCATTCCGATTCAATCACCATGTCTAATTATTTCCAACTTCCCGAAATCACCCGTTCCAATGGCACATCAGAAGCAGAGAATGTGACCTGGGTTTGGCAGGAGCTCCCAGACCAGCCTAGCTCTCAAATGGCAGATATGGAGGCAGAGCTTCTGGAAAGGAGGACTGCTGAGCAACTCGAAAGATACAGGTTGCTCCTCGAAGAACTCGATCTTAAAATGGAAGCCTTCAAGGCCGAGAGTGATGAACTGGAGTCGCTGTTTGAGAGGATGAAGAATGCAAGGGGAGAGGCGGAGAGACTCGTAGAGGCTACTCCTGAGGGAATTGACGAGGAAACTCGTTACCCCGCTCCTTCCTCTCCCTCTTCCTCCCCCTATCCCTCTCCTCCCCCCTCTCCTCCCCCCTCTCCTCCCCCCTCTCCTACCTTCTCCATCTCTCCTTCCGAAAACGGCTCCACTATCTCCTTTACATCTGCCTCCTCCTTTTCATCCGAGGATTCTGACTTCGAACTTTGAGGTTTTGATTCAAGAAGGAGGGTGTTTGGGAGTGAAAAAGATAGAGAAATTGCAGGGTAAGTGATCCCGTGCTCTTGAACTATTTAAAGGTGCCTTGCTAATACATTTGAAGGAACAGATGAAGAAATTTGGGTATATGGGGGTTGGAGTTTTATGAATTGATGATTCATGATTGGATGGGTTGGGTAACCGCTTAGGGTTTTTAGGGTTGGAGTTTTAAAAATTGTTGTTTAGTATGTTATTCAACAAGGAGTTGTTATAAAATGATATTATCTGATTTACATTTTGAGTTTATAAAATTATAATCTAGATTTGTGATTGGCAAACAGGGGGTCCGTGGTTCATTGGGGTTTAATAGGGTTTTTTTAATCAATCAATGGTTTGGTGATGGGTTATCTAGTAGCCCTTTTTGAATTAACAGTTTGGATCAAGGTTTGCAAGAAAGAGGCGGTTGATCACCCATGGGCTTCACTGGTGAGAAGCCTGGAGATGCTGAAAAATGACTGTGCTAGTGAATATAAACGTTTAAGGTGCCTAGTGGTTGAATACCTGTGGATGTGAAGTGGTGGAATTCGAGCATCGCTATTACTAGACTGATACTGTTGAGAGAGTGGAAGGAAAAAGTGCGAAGGGTACGAACGAGTAGCATACTTCAAATTTTGGTTGTTAATATCTTCGGGGCAAAGCGAGGCTAATTACTTCTTAGTACATGGATATAGGATATATCTGTGATTTTCTGCCTACAAAAATGGGAGAAAATATGCGCGTGCTAAAGAGAACTGATGTTCAGCCGAATATTATTTACTACCACCGAGATTCCATTAGCAATGAAGCTGTTGGGATATATCGAGACTAGTAACTTGCTGTTACCAAGTTCTTTCCTTTTTTTTCTTAGAAAATAATGTAGTCTTATTAAAATAGGTAGTGATACCTGGTTATATTCATAATAAAAATTCATACTGTTTTATAATTCGTTTGATTTAAGTTACAAGTAATGTGTATACAAATTTCAGCGCGTCTATTAATTATTAATCTTTGCTTTCTCTTTACTATGATGATTTGATGTAGGTGTAATCACTTGGATGTTTCTGCTGGGTACCTTTTTGGGTATTTGTATTCACTTAAAGGTTTGAGAGGTCTTCGATATTTATATTCAATTGTACATTTACATTCATTCAAATAACCACATCCTTAAACATTGAAATCCATATTAACACTCACAACTACATAAACATTCACCTCTACATAAACATTCACCTCTACACAAACACTCTAGGTCATCCAAACATCCAAACATCCAAATCTCCTCATAAATCTAATTCTATTCATATAATATTACCCTCAATCTTCAATCTTCAATCCTCAACCTCCAAACCCCAACCCAAAAAGACATAAAAACAACACTAACATTCAAACCTCTTCATAAGTCTAGCACCCTACTTCTGGCCCCCCCCCCTAATATGGGTCATTTTCCTCACCAAAAATAACAAAAATCGACTTTTATAACTTTCTTACTTATGAATATAATTTTCTAAAATTCAGAATATAAATTTATTATTTATATAATAATAGATTCTGAAACTTTCAGATTTTTCACAATTTTATTGATTGAAATATAAATAATTAAAATCACAATTTTCAATTTGTATAGGATTTATTGTTACGAGGTTTGCCGTCTAGATCACGTGGAAGTGCTCTAGGCTCTCGAGGTAGGTTTATAACTAGGCGTCAGGTAGGGACTTAAAGTAATGACAATAATGATATGCTATTCGTAACTAATAGTAGAGTATACTAAATGATTGATCTTGATCTTGAGCACGAAGCTCTATACAAAGGGAATCCACCTTGATTATATAGACCTTCGTATTCCAACATTGGAGCGATGGAGCTGGGGAGCGAGATTCGAATCTCGCTCCCTCACAAGACTATTCATGTGATCCTATAACACGTGATAATAGTTATAATGTTGCAACGTAACACCAACCCAACCCAACCCAACCCTATACACCAAACCCCCTCTTTAAAAAAAGGTAAAAAGGGCAACTCAAAAAGCTAACCATAGATATCTAATATTGTCTATCAAAATTAAGCTATCTATCCATCTACCAAACCCCAAAATACACAGTATCCGTCTTTATTGATTTATTTATTTCCTATCACTTTTTCCTTTCTCTTTTTCTTTTCCATCCCCAGTCTATCTCCCAATCTATCTTCCATATCTCATTCCCCTTATCCCCTTCCCTAATCAGAAGAAAGAAAAAATTACTCTAATATCCAACTCTTCCCCTTTCTTTCTCTGACCATACAACTACAAACATATCTTCAAATCACCTTTAATATCAATACAACTATTATAGTCCTATCATATATTCCAAGAAACTCTTTATTATTTTATATTATATATGATAATAAATCTTATAATCTTATAACTTTATAATATCTAGACTTTGAGAATATTGATACTAAATTTAAATTTTTTTTTTGATTTCTTATCAATTTATATAATAATTACTATTTTTAATTGAAGAAGACCAGTGATGAATATTTATATAGTTTGATATTGGTATTGATGAATAATACTGTGTAGAGTTATAAACTTGAAAGAGGTGTATAAGGTCTCGAGATAAGGTAATATGATATAAGTATATATTCAAGTATTCGAGTATTAAGATCTTACACTCAATTTATACCATAAACATCCAACCCAACCTCTCCCTTCATATCCACCCCAAAACCCCGAACACCCTACCCACACCCCACCCCCCTCAACACCTCCCCAATAACCCCCACCATCTCCAGCACCTTCTCATCCTCCAACCTCCTCCCCACACACTGCAACGCCACGGGCGTCCCATGATAAAACCGCTCCTCATAATCCCCCTGCAACAACCCATCCTTCTCACACAACGGCATCCACTCCTCACCCCTCCTCTTATCCACCCTCTCATCCGCAAACATAACCGGAAAAGTACAAGCCGGATAATCCAACAAATTCCAGACACCCGTAAAATTCACACAAAAAGCATCCGTTTGCGTGATACCCAATCTTGGTGCCGTCCACGGACTAGCAGGCATAATAATCGCATCCATAACATCCTTTCCATCTTTCCCCGTACTTGTCCATCGATCTAAATACTCCTTCTGGTAAGCATTTCTCCTCGTAATCATCTCTCTTAACTTCGTTGGTCCCAATGTCCCATGTTCACCCTGGTCGTAGGCGAATTCGTAATTTTTCATACTTTCGAATACAGGCTCGTCGTGTTTACGCGTTAATTCGAGAATAGCGGCTCCACCTAATGTGTAGAAGGAATTATTCATTTCCTTGGCCATTTCGGGATGATTGGTAGGTTCCCACTCGAAGACCTCGTGACCAGCTGCTTCTAGGGCTCGTTTTGTAAGTGCGAGTCCGCGAGCAATAGGCGGATGAACGCTGATTTCACCGTCGTTGTCAGATATAATTCCGAAGCGGAGTTTGCGGCCTGGAGGCTGGATTGTGTTTTCTCGCCAGGGGATTGGGAGACATTTGGGGTCGTAGAACCAGGGTGAAAGTGAGGGGGACAGAACAGCTTTGCAGTATAGTTGGAGGGTTTTAAGGGATCTGGACATGGGGCCATTGTTGGAGTAGATGAAATCTTGTCCTGAGATTCCAGATTTGGTGCCGTAAATGGGGAATCTGCCAAAACTATTCGTTTTCTGTCAATATTGTCCATTGTGAAAAGAGATAATGTACGCACGTAGGTTTCAATCCAAAAAGTCCATTAAAAGCACTAGGAATCCTGATACTACCACCAATATCCGTGCCAATACCCAAAGGACTACCCCTCATAGCCAAAAGCACACCTTCACCACCAGAACTTCCTCCTGAAGTCGTGCCTATATGATAAGCACCATTAGTTTCGCCCCATACATTTGAGATTGTCTCCATCATCATCATCGCAACCGGTACTGCAGTCTTTACATAGAAAATAGCACCAAGCTTCGCTAACAAAGAAACTAAAACCGTTTCGTCTTTTGCATTGGTGGGAACATTGGCATAGCATGCCATACCAATAGAAGATGGATGAGGTGGTGTTATGAAGCAATCTTTTAGGGAGATTGGAAGACCATGGAGTGGACCTATGATATCTCCAGTTTTGGAGAGATATTCATCTAGAAATTCTGCTCGTTTAAGAGCTTCCGGAATGAGAATTTCTGTTAAACAGTTTGTCTGAAATGTTGGTTAGGAAGTGCTTGTTCGTGAACGAGAATAGAACAGACCAATTGATGGGCAACAACAGCAGCCTTAGAAAATGCCTTGGTAACTTCAACAGACGTCCATATTTTGTCTTTAATCTTTTGAAGTATAGCTTCCGCATCTGATTCAATAATCTCTAATTCCTCATGGGTGAAATGACCAGACGATCTTGGGATATTAGTAACATTTCGTGGAAGGGTTTTTAGAGCTTCCCCGGGAAGAAGATATTCTTTTGGTAAAGAATCAGCTCGACGCTTTTGAGCTATCGTTGCTATTTCCTTGTAGTGTTGATCTTCTAATATGAGTCGAGATTCACCCATGGTTGTGGTCAGAGGAGGGGAAGTCCTGATTATGCTAGATCTTAATGTAATGTGGTATTTGAGAATTCAAACCAACTCAGAGGAAGAAAAAAGTTATGAAGACATTAACTTGTAGTGAACGAAGAGACTAAATAATTAATTGATAGAAGTGAATTATATCTCACACTCCAACTATGTACATATCTTATCATAATCATTTCTTGATTTGAGGGCAGATTTGAGGAGTTTGTATGAAGTGCAGTACCCCGCCGGCGCTCACAAGTGGGGGTTTCCCGATTTCGGCAAAAAGTCCCAAAAATCCCGGCCACTGATATCAGGATCTTCAGCACCACCAGAACAATCAGGAATGAAATAACAGATATCTAACAAGAGCTTGATCAGATATTATAAGAAGTGAAGAGTGTATATATTAATTTCAACCTCTTGCAAATCCACATATTTTCTGCCAGATGCAGAAATCCTGGTCAGCAAGAGCCACTGCATGTTTTGAAGAAATTCCTGTAGCATTAGCATATACATCCAAAACGTCTACATTTGATATCAAAACATTGAATTCTGTATGATAAGCCGCCGTTCCATGAAGTCACCAGTGCTGTTTATTGTCCGGCAGTTCCGCATGCGTGAATCGTCATTCTGTTGGTACGCCGTGCTGGTGGTCAGCAATATATCCATGATAACCCCCTTTGAATCAACATTAGGAGGATATTGAGAAGTCGCAAACTATAAAGGTACAAGTGCCGGACTTGGAGCTTCGTCACCGAGGTGGCTTTCCAGGCTATGTTTTCCATTCGATCGGAACCTGGGTAAAGCATTGATAGCAGCAATGGCAGCAGTTGAATCGACCTTCGCGCCACAATACCAAGCGTATTGATAGCTTCCATAGATCGGTAGATATGGTGAGAGAAAATGGAGCTATTACTCCCAGGGACTGCAGCATCATTCATGGCGTGGAATCTACCAGAAAGAAGAGCTGATGTCTTCACGGTTGTAGAATTTGTGAAATTGTATGTTTGTATATATCAATAAATGTGTAAATATATCATGATTGATTAAGAAAGAGATTTAACAGATATCAAGAATAACAGATTCGAATTGAGAACAAAAGATCGACCAGCACTCAAAACAAGAATGAGGAGATGAGGTAGAAAATCTAGAAGAGATGACCTCAACTTATAGAGATGAAGACACTATGTAATGGAGACAAAGAGGACTTATTACTAAGTATTACTCAGTATTACATGTAAAACAAAAGCTACTTCCCCTAAAGTATTCAGCAGTCCGTGAAACATCACCTCTAGTTTCTTATATCAAGTGAAGAGATTGTCTATCAACTTCTTAATGTCGTGTGTATAATAAATAGCACCTCTCCGATGGAAGATCCTACTACTAACGTAACATGAGAGATAATGACACCAGCTCAACAAATCACATATCAAATTATTTACTGCGCACATTGCATCCAAGTGAAGTATATGTATGATTTTTAAATACCAAGTTCTTGAATTCCCAAGTCTCAGCCTTGTGAGAAGCAGTAAGGTGAAATGAGATCTAATCTACAGCAAAAATGCTGAAAGTGATTACATTATGTTTCCATCATCTAAATCTACGTTCCTTTGAGAGAAGAGGAGGTAGGAGTTATATTGAGGAAGTAAGATTTGATCTACCATCATCTATAGACGTTGAACCCAGAGTGTAGTAGGGAAGAACGCATATGCTCAAATGGGGTGGGTACACGAAGACACACAAATTCACAAGTAGTCATAAAAAAAAACAGAAAGTCGAATGATTCAATTCCTAGCGACTCCGTATCACCAATTGTATGTTTCCCATCCCAGGTAATCGTCAACTGTCGTAGCCATTAAGCTGTTCTAACGCGAGACGTATTATGCTGCAACGGCAAGCATTAGCAAGAATATCGACCATGAAATCGAGAGGTACTAGTCGAATACTAACTGTCCAGATAATCAGCTGCCATTAACAACTCTAGACACAACTCTGCCGGAATCTCCATGTCTGGCACATTCTCCGAGTTGCGATATTTGTAGTTGTAGTAAAAGTATTCGGCGACCTTCTCGAGGACAATACCACTATTAAGAGAGATTGTAGTTAGTCTTTGAGGAATATTTGTAGCAATGCCATGCTAGACATAAGATGATGCTGCTCTGAGCTAGCTGATCATAAATCGCCATTCATCTGGCTTTTAGATGGTTGTTGATGGTTCGTTGAAGAATGAAGTAAACTTCTGGAAGAAAAAAAAAATGAATAAAAACTTAAATAGACATAAAAGCGGGTCTCAGATCAAGTGTAAAAAACGAGCATCCAGTCCACAACAGTCCCAAAAGGGGATAGAGGGTCTGTATCGAAATAGCTTCTATCATCACCGACGCCTATGTACCCTTTGCTGGAAAATACTCTGAAGTGTGTGATGTTTGTCGAAGAAATGGGTTATGGTATTGTAAAGAGAGCTAACCAAAAAAAGGAAATGGCATACTTTATTTCTGCGAAACGGCAGATTCCTGTTTGAGACTCTTCCCAACCACCTGTATATGAATAAAATAAGTAAGTATTGGTTCAATTGCAACTATTCGCAAGGTCGGATCGATAAAGGAGGGGCAAACGAACTGGTTGTATCCAGCATCTTTTTGATTGCACCACTTGTCAAAGCAGCCTCTCTCAGAACGACGAATTCAAATCCGTCGCAAGATACGAGAGTCACATATTTGCTTGTACCTGGTGCTGCCATGATTAGAGAAATTGGTAAATGTTGTATAGCAATTGTGAATTTCTTTAAAGCATAGACGTGATTTTCTTTGAGGCGACATGAAACCGTTAAGCGGGGAAGGCATCAGCCAGGCGCGAGGCTACGAATCTGCAAATCTGCAGGGAAATGGCATAAAATCTTGGAAAGCTTACTGGGTACGGAGTATTATCAATGTATTAAGCTTTCTTCTTTCTCTTCGAAATTCGATTCCAATTTACAATAACAATTCAAAGTACTGTACATGAGAAGATTTCAACCACGCGACAATCTTCTAGATGTGGGCATAGCATTGGCCACCCTCCATGGGTTTTAACACTACCAACAATACTTGTAAGTTTAGATTACGCCAAGATCTGCCAGCTACCTAGTATTTTCAAAAAGGAAGATAACCCGGTACGAGAATGCGAATCCGAACGATTTCCCCTATTCATGAATTTCATGATCGAACGAACGAGCCATCTGATTCCCAGGAACGTATCCTGCGTGCATGCGCACTCCGTACATTTTGCGGGATGAAATCCAAGGACTGTACTAGTTAGGTAATCCGTTAGAGTCAGTCGTGGGCGGTCACTGGTCACTGGTCAACACGGGAATCAACATTCACGGTTCCTTGAGACTTGAGTCCACCAGGTCCTTATCAATCGGATATGTACAGCCAAATCCTGTTCAGAGTCCACTTTCATTTCAAGCTTTTCCCAAGAAGCTTACGAGTCAATGATCGGAAAGCATTTCACCGCGATTTCCTTTCTCGAATCTTAGAATGATTACTCGAACTCGAGTACAGTACCTTGTAAAACTTTATAGTTCGTAGTACTATAGTACATACCATACCTACCGATCACTCAATAAAAGGGAGCGGACACTTTCACTGCTCCGACATGCATACACTGGCAATCTCCTTGAGTTTCCACCATCCGTAGTCTCTTCTATTTCACATTTCACACCGACACCGTTCCGTGTATTTCTAGAAATCGGGGCTCTTGGCACTCGGCTTAAGCTCGGCCGGATGAACATGAGACCACCTCCACAGGTTCATTGATTGGCGAAAACAACAATATTATTATGGCTAGAGATTTTTGCCTGACTAGCCACACACAGCCACAACAATCTTACACCCAAAATATCAGGCACAACGGGCATGATCTTCGTTCGAACAAGGGTTTGTGCAAATGCCAAGAGACTGAATTCCCTAATCTGGAGAGATTATACGGTACAAAGCATCAATGGAAGGATTTGGACCCTCCGAAAAACTGGGCGCTTACTGTACCTTTTATTTAACTTTTCATATCTGCTACACTGCTACACCCTTTTCCCTCGGCTTGCAAGATGTGAGCCACAGTCGCACGAGTAGGGAGTCGAGAAGATGTTGTGAATTGGGTATAGCTCCCCATTTAGCATATCATTTCATCCCACCCGCTTTGTCGGATGTAGACAGCCAACTCGAACCAAGTATCCAAGGAACAGGGAATATTCAAAAACCATCATTTTATCTGGGAGAAATGATAAATGATATGCGTGGAAATGCGTGTGAATGGACGGGCAAGGAGGGAGGTCGCATAGGATAGGTAGCATAGGTAGGACAGGCAACATAGCATAGGGTAGCATAGCCATCGCATTTCTTTATTCCGCTACAAGCAATGCGTCCGAAGCAGCTAGTCTGACCTATATTTTTACTTTCCTACATTTGTGGACGTCATAGAACTACCTCTATCCCTGATCTTTCCTTAGGGCTCCAAAGATCGCGGTCTAAAGTATATTCTAATTGCATTTCTTTTTAATCTTTAATAATGTTGCTTTCCCTCCTCGAATCTCTTCGCTTTCTCTTTTTGACATTTGCTTCCTATTAATCATGGGCGGGGCTTTTTGCGCCATGAGGCGCCTCTTACTTCATGTATACAGAACTCTTCTCAATAGGTACGTAGATGCACTTCTGGATAATCCCTATGCCTTGACTTCCAAGAATACTAACATGTGTGTAGACATTCTTTCTTTGGATTGCTTAGACATATTTTAATCAACATGACATTTATTCTTATGTGGATAACGACTTTCAAGAATGGTAAATTCTGATGTATACTCCATCACATATAAATTCCAGACTAACTCTATCTTGCAAAGCATGGCGAATCGACTCCTCAATCCGGCCACTAATTGATGTCAATTATCTCGAATTGTTAGATAGGAGAGTTTTTGGATTTTCCATGTTTGGTCTCGCATCACAATTTACCTGTTCGGTCATCGGAATATCGTGGATGTATGCACTCACTCGAAAGAAGATATCGATCCTTGCTGGACTCCCTCCTCTTCTCCTCAACATTCTCTACGCCCTCTCCCATAACCTCTCCGAACCCCTCGATGTTTTCGCCTGGCTCTCATATGGTGTTATTCACTTCATCTCTCCTTTCTTTGCCGCATTCTGGCTCTGGCTATTCGCATCACCAGGCGCTGTATCTATATTCGCCTGGTCTTTCGGAATCCAAAACTGTCTCGGAATAATAACCCATCTCTCCTTCCCATCCGCAGCCCCCTGGTACGGCGATCAATATGGATATCCCCTCCCACCCGGAAACTACAGTATGCCCGGTTCAGCCGCCGGACTCGTACGAGTCGACAAAGTCCTAGGAACCCACATCTACGCCAACGCATTCAAAGCCTCGCCTCTAGTCTTCGGAGCATTCCCTTCGTTACATGGAGCATTCAGCTGTTGCTGTTTCTTCTTCATCGGTCGCTACTCCAAAAAAGGAACTTTCATCCTCGGTTTTTACGTTCTCTGGCAATGGTTCTCCACCATGTATCTACGACATCATTGGCGTCTCGATCTTCTCGGCGGACTCGCCTACAGCGCCTTTGCATTTTCCCTCTTCTACCGCAGTTTACAAAAAATTGATCGAGCGTACTCGATGGGTGTTAGTGGCGGAAACGGATGGCAGAGATTGTGGGAAGGTACGAGATTACAGTATTGGTTTGATAGGAGACCCGCTCAGTTGGGCTATGAGGTCTTGATGGAAGATGAGGAGTATAATAAAGAAGCGAGGATGGAGTTGAGGGAAATAGGAAGTCCTGGGTTGCAGGGAGAGTTGGAGGGTGCGTGGGTGAGGGATGAGGGGCTTACGTGGACGGTGAAGGATATGGATAGGAGGTTGAGGTAGTGCGGAGCGGAATGGATTGGAATGCAATGGAATGGAATGATATTTCGCAAAAAAGATATTTTGATAAGTAAATAGGATGAAGTAGAAAGAAAAGAGGCGGTTATTCTTTCCTTCTTTCTCTCACCCAATTGATTGGATAGACAGAGAGAAAGTATAATGAATAGCACATTCGAATTTTCGAATTTTTTCAAACTTTCAAAGGGCGTTGTGGATAGGATAGGATGGGATGGGTTTTTTGCATTACTACCTTTTACCTTTTACCTTCTTTCTACCTTCTATGTATCTATATATTGATTATTTAGAGGGTTTAGATATAAATATATTTGAGTAGATGGATGGATAGAAATGGATAGATAGATAGAGAGAGATAGATGAAGGGATGGATGGGTATATAAAATATAAGTATATAAGATAAAAGAAAATTAACTTGTAAGATAGTTAGTTAGTCGGGTATAGAGTTGATGGTGTATGAGTATGGGTGTATTTATTTGAGTAGTAGATATAAGATAGAAAAAAAATATATAATTAACTAAATATCAAGTATTAATTATTAATTATTTCTTTTAATAATAATAAAATTATTGGATTTTAAATGATTATCTTTGAATTTGAAATAAATATTTATTCCAAAAAACAAAAACACTAAAAAACTCAAAAATAACAAAAGAGTCAGAAAAGAATAAGATTATCATAATATTCTATCCCATCAGTTTCTAAAGAAATATAAATTCGATTTAAATAAATATCTCATATTACCTGTTATATCTTTCTACTTCTCTACCTCTCTATCTCTCTACCTCTCTACTAGAAGATAGATACTTAACATAACTCCACATTAAATATAAGTCCATAATCATACAATCACTTCACATACAGATAAAATAAATAAGATAAATCGTTACTTTTATTTCATATTCATCCATCCATCAATCCATCCACCCTCCTTCCAAATCCCATCCAGCAACTCGATATATACCATTCCATAAACGAACCCAAGAGTTCACTATTTGTATACCCTAACTCTCATCAAATTGTTTTGATGTGAAGAGCAAAAGATATCCATATAAATCCTTTCGTATCATCTGAGAACTCCTAGTATCTCCGCTTTCTTGAATGAATTGAATGAAGTGATTGAAATGTACTATAGTCGCTTCTCCTAAAAAGAATTATCTATGCGACTTCCTCAATCTTTGCCTTGGCTGGCTCTCCAGCTTTCTCTTCTCCAGCTTCCTCCTCTCCTTCGAGTCCTGGCATCTCCTCGTCATCCTCATCATCACCCTCATCATCCTCACCCATTCCTCCCAATCCACCCATTCCTGCGCCGCCGAGTTTCGAGAAATCAATACCACCGAAATCTCCACCGGCTCCTCCCATCATGTCTCCCATACCTGGCATCCCACCTAAAGTAACATTCATTAGCTTACTGTCAAATTTTATAGTTAGAGACAGTAAAACTTACCCATACCACCCATCTGGCTCAAATCCTCCTCAGGAGCCTCATCTTGCTCATCCTCATCAACCCACTTATCAAAGTCGGTCTTCAAGAAGTGAACCTTCTTAGAATCCTTTAATAATCTTGGCCAGAATTCCTCCTTCAACTCCTTCTTTCTCAAGACGAATTGAGTGTTCTTTTGAGTGTGATTGTACTTGGAAGCACTCTCATCGATTTCAGCGTAGAATTCCAATGTGACTGCATAGGCACGCTTGAGCGACTCGGAGTAGCCAGAGAATGTGAGGGATTGGGACTTGAGTTCGATCTTGGGTTCTTTGACATCAGGAACACTGATGGTCAGGTAGATGAAATTCTTTTCTGCCTCAGTCTTGTTGGATCGTTGAGCCCAGAGAACTGCAGTTTTTAATGATTAGCAACATGTCTAGATATTGTGGGTATTGTGGTAGGTGAAGAAAAGCTTTTGTGATCCTTGCTTATATATTTTGAAGCTTCAGCGCACAGTACCCCTCATTGAAAAAGTAGTGTGGGATGGAGCTGGTCGATCTCCAAAGCAATTCTAGGCACATGAACCTTCCAACGGCTAGTATATGCTCAAGTGGCACAATCTCGAAGATATAGTTGAAATAACAGGAGTTGGCTGGACAGAGAAGCTTTGTAACTTCTCATTTGCCGCATCCGGAAAAGAAAAGAGCTAACAAGCTTACCTTCTGGAGTTGCAGTAGTTTCAGACATTGTGAAATTGAAGAGCTGTACGAAAGATGAAATAGAACTTTTTTGTTGTTGCAAAAATTGAATTGGGGTATCAAGCAAAGCGTTGGTAATGTTGTTCTTGTTGTTGTTGTAGAAGTGAGAAATTATGAAGAGGAGATGAAGAAAGGATTGGCGAACTTTCTATTTGTTGCTTGTGCTGTGTGCAGACAAACGAGGCTGAGAGCCGTATTAGGTATGTATGGAACCTGCGAGAACATTGGGGAAAGTACAATTCAAAGAGAGGATAGGGATAGCAAACATTCCTCCTCAATTTACACCAAAAATAGATGATGTAGTGAATCTGTTGTGATGGGGTGTATTGAAGATATATATTCCTCCTTTTCTCATCTATTAATTTATTATTCTAACATTTAAACTCAACTTGAAGATCCTCGAGAATTAAAAATTAACAATTAAAAATGATTCAAGCTGAAGTTGATGCTTCGAAACTTGACCCCACGTTACTGCGGCTCCCATTAAAGCCAACGTCACTGATGCCCTTGAGCTTGGACCTAACCCCAAACTTGAACCTAATACAATCAATCACCATCACTTATCTACTATTATCACTTGTCTAGTATGCACACTTACCGTTATTGTTGAACCCTCGACTCTGACTAGAACAATAATACTACGAATTGTGAAAAGACCCGTGCACTTACCTATCTTCACATTAAAGCTACAAATCTACCAGTCATTTTGCGAGTAATTCGCATCCCAAACACTCATCATGGAATCCATAAAAGCCGTATTCTTCAAACCCGATCCTCAAGTTCAAGTGTGTATCCTCTTTTCATCTCTATCCTCATCCCATCCCCGCCAACTAATTTCTTCTTCCAGGTCCGCAAATGTAACACCCTAATCCGACAAAACATACGGAAACTCGACCGAGACATCGCAGCCCTTAAAGCCGTTGAAAACAAAACCCGCAACCTCATCATCGCCGCCAATAAACGTGCTCAACGCACCCCCTCCCAAGCAAAACAAGCCGCACAAGAAACCCGTATCTTCGCGCGCGAATTAATCCGTACCCGAAATACCTCTCGTCGACTCGTCACTTCCAAAGCGCAATTGCAGAGTGTGAATATGCAAGTTAATGAAGCCTTTGCGGTGAGGAAAATAGAGGGGAGTATTAAGGCTAGCGTGGGTATCATGAAGGATGTTAATAGTTTGGTTCGATTACCAGAACTTATGGGGACGATGAGGGAATTGAGTCAGGAGTTGGTGAAGGCTGGGATTATTGAGGAGATGGTTGGGGATATGTTGCCAGATCAGTTGGAGGAGGAGGATGAGGAGGCCGAGGAAGAAGTGGATAAGGTGCTTGGGGAGATATTACAGGATAGGATGGGGAAGGTGGGTACGACGCCAAACTTACCGGCCGCGCCAGTACAACAAGAGGTTGCTGCGGAAGAGGAGGACGAAGATGCAGAGGCTATGTTGGATCAGATGAGGGGAAGGTTACAGGCCTTGAAGAGTTAAGTGGGAGAACAGGAATTGGGTTTTGTATGCTGTGTTTGGAGTCTGGATGGAGTTTGGTGGGAGGTTGTATATGCTTAGAGGCATTCGGCAGTGTCCTGGCATGGAATAATTATACAGAAGGATCGTTCAGGAACACTTTCTGATTTTTCAAGTTTAGGCATATGTAGAATATGCTTCATGATAATAGATATCTTTTAAAATTGTTATAGTCCTCGATAGAATGAAGAAAGATATTCAATAAATGAAGCTGATAATAGGCAATTCTCTACCTGGTCTTTGGATGGACATTACAACTCAACTTCCTACCTTTAATACATCTTGACTCTACACAAAATCACTCTTAAAACATCCATCCATCCATCTATACTATATATACCCTTACTATATATACACTTATAAAATACTCCCACCATATTATAATATATCATAACTCCGCCTCTAGCTTCAACTATTTACTACTTACTCCTTCCTGTTTATATATGTAAATTATAATATAAACATAAATCATTTTTCTTAATTTGGATAAGTCTCTATATAGTACTGTAAGACTGTATATAAATTATAAATCTTATATTCGATATCTATATATCTAGTACCATGGTGTGTGTGTACAGATTATATCAAACCCTATTATTAGTATTATATACATCAGATATAAATCAGATATATACCTAGTAGGTAGGTATTCATTCCCAGAGTATTTAATTCAATCCAATTCAATTTTATAAATAATAATGTATAAATCAAATATCAGAGAAAAGGCAATATAAGTAAATATAACAATAATAATAACATAATTCCAATTCCAATTCCTAACCCTATGATTTCTTTCCCTATCCTGTTATAATAATAAACTAAAAATAAAATTACTATCTGGGATTTTTTCTAAAAAAAAATGAAGAGAAGAAGAGAAGATAGATGGACGTGGATGTGAATAAGATAACCAGTATGCTTATTTCATCTCATATCATATCATATCATATCGTTTCACCAAACTAAAGCAATCCAATCCAATCCTTCGAATACTATCCACGCATTCATCGACCTATCCATCCATCCATCTCTCTTTCCAGAATTCCACGTCCATATCTGATACCCATATCAAAATCCATATCCAAACCAAGGAAAAAAAAAACCACACACACACACCATACGAACAAAAGGTAGAACATCAAACTCCAACTTTGCATCCGCAATCGAGAATCCAAGAAGTTGAATCCAAATCCAAATCCAAATCCAAATCCAATTCCAATTCCAAATAATAGGCCGTTATTTCACCTATTCTCCTTATTTCTTTCCCATCAGATACCATCTGACTCAAGCCATCCCGTCCCGTTCATTGTGAGGCCTGTTCTTCCATCCATATGTCAGGACACCCAATTCCATCCTATCTTATCCCATCCAATCGAACCCAAGAATAAAGGAAAAGGAAATGTGAATGTGAATGTGAATGTGAAAATTTGAGAGAGGAAAGGTAAAAAGGAGAAGAAGAAAAAGAAGAAAAAGAAAAAAGGTGCGATTTTCCATCCGTATTTCCATCTTCATGCAAACCAAAGATAAAACCAAAAATAAAAAATGAAAAAAAGTCTCCAAACAAACACATCAAAGAAGAACAGCGGAAAATTAAAAAGGAGATAAGCCGGAAAAACTTAAAAGCAAAGAAAACCCGCAACTTAAAATCCCTGCGGTACAGGAGGAGCATCAAGTAATTGTAATCCTTGCGGAACAGGAGCATCAAGTAACTGTAATTCCTCCAAATACCCCCGTTCCTCCTGCATATTCCTAATAAAGACTTCCTCGCCCACCTCACCCCACCACCCTCTCTCCACAACCTCCTTCTTCCTCTGCCAAATCTCACTCGCTACTCCTTTTACCTGACCAAATGCACGACCGGCACTAGGCCATACTTGCCATAGAGTTTTTAACGCCCCGGTATTCAATTTCAATTGTTGTTTGAGATCATCGTCGTTGAGAAGAGGATAGAGAACTGACCAGCAAGAGAGATGGACGACCGAGGCGAGCGTTACGACGCAGGTGAAGAAATGGGTGTGCCGGATTAAGGGGATGGGGAGGGTAATTAATTTGGAAATGGATTGGGCGGCGGTGATGGTTTTGGAGGCATGAATGTTGTAGTTAGAGCCTGGGATGATAGGGTGGTGTGGGGCGCAGGAGGTTATTGGGGTGGTGATGCTGCTGTCTAGTTCGGAGAGTTCGCGGTGAAGAACGATAGTTGTGCTGTTTAAGAATGGGGTTAGTTCATGTAGAAATAAAAAGTATGGGATCAATAACAGGAAATTGGAGGAAACATACGCTTCGGTTATCATGTTTGCTTGGAAAAGCATTTCATCGAGCTTGCCATCACCACTGACGAGTTGTCTCTTGTTCTCTGGGAGATGTAAACGGAAGTTTACAAGATATGCATCAAGACGATCGACGGCCGAACTGTCAGGGTGAGGGTTCATTTGACGCCCAGTCAACAATCGACCCAAATTGCGGATTGCAGAGATACGATATGTGAAAGAGGAGTAACTGAAATCACGGTGCTCGAAATCCTCATCATCAAAGTCCGAAAGGGAATGAGGGACCGGAATATTCTGGTTTTTGTTAGTATGGTAATTTTTATAAGATAGGTCTGAAGGGAAATTCTCGCCTATCAATTAAGGGAAACTTACTCCACTAATGTATTCGTACTCTTCGCATGGAAGTCCAACTTCTGCAGGTATATCTTTCATGGGAAAGAAACTCTTTTGATGAACACCAGCGATCATTCCATCCACCACGAACATTTCCCACCAAGTACGACGCAAGCTCTCTTCCATACTGGGCCAACCATTCCCGTGTATAGAAGCGAAGTCCCTCTTGTTCATCCCTAGTTGTAATGCCAAATCTTGAGTATCGGTAAGAACTTGTAAAGCCTTCTCCTGGTATGTGTAACCATCAAGTCCAATACAAAAAATAAGCATTGCTTGAACTTTGAATGCGTCCTTGGGACAATCTGCCCGATAAATCGCTCGTTCGGCTTCTAGACATAGTGCCGTGGTGGGTGCTTGATCTATGTAGAAAGAACCCACATATCTCATAGCAGCTTCTAAATGCTCCAATTGTTTTTTCTCCTTCAATAATCTGAGCAGATTATCTCTCGGGAGAACAAAGGGGTGTGCGGGCCAAAAATGAAAGAAGAATGCTTCAATACATTTTTGGCGAAGGTCTAATCCGTTGTATTGAGGTTTATTAACGTCTAAAATCGTCTGATCTCTATTATTACCATAAGACGCGGGATCTGCCGGTTGGAACGGAAGCGAGTGCAGTCTATTGTCGGGAGGTGTAGCTAATCCACTGGGAATGTTGCCCGAAATACCGGTGGTATTGAGGGTCGTCGATGAGGTCCCTGGTCGAACTAGTGGACAAGCTCTGGGATTGTTTGATTGAGTTGACGTCGACACCACCGTCTTGTTTTGAGCTCCATTACGTCTAGGGCCCTTGAAGCCTCGACGACTTCTCACGTACATACATTCATATTCATTAGCAGAGCATCTCGAACATGGGCTTAGGCCGTCGCATTTGAGGTGCTTAGAGCGACAAGCGACGCATGCTGATGGGACGGTGATCCGATCCTTTTGATGTTCCGGAACGATCGCCGGCTGTCTTTCACCTTGTTTCTCAGGCACATGATCGGAAGTAGGTGAGAGTGATGAAGCATTACTCGTCGAAGGCGTTTGGATGGGAGAAATGGAATCCATAGCTCTAGTGGTCAGATTTGATGTGGATGTGGATGAATTGCTCGCCGACCAAAACATATGAGGCACAGAAGTAGAGGTCTGATGCATTGGAGGATGTCAATACTGCAACCCTGGCACAGAGCGTCGAATGATTGCAGGATATTCTATCCTTGTCCTACGATATCTGATGGGAAATGCTGACCACCGTAGTAATTGTGGTACCTAGCGAGGTCCCCGACGAGCCCGAATAGATTGGGTATAAGCAAGTTTAGTACAAACACGTACGCTGATGTGCTGACAGCAATATGGTTTGTGTTCAACTAGGACAAGTCCAATCTTTATAAAGTATGGGGGAGCCACAAGAATGAATAAGTTGTGAACTTATGTTGGAAGATGTTGGGAAAAGGGGCGGATAGTCTCAATATAACGACGGGGAAGTATCGATTCTGCGTGCAAACAAGTTGTTATTAAGAGCATACGGAGTGGTCCATCCGCTCAATTGATTTTCTATCTGACATACAGTATTTCATGCGTACATATGCGTAGTTGATGCGTATTCGATGCGTATGTCCTTCCTTTACCTTGGAGGACAAGAGGGTAAGAAATCCTATTGGTGCGAAGTCCCGAGGGTTGTGAAACTGCCACACACGTGACTCAATTTCCAACATCGATTAACTTCGGATTTCCCCTTCATCATCCGCGATTGAAAGAAAAACTCCTCAATGCTGCATTCTTTCTGCAGTCAATGTGCATATAAAAGGTTATGATTATCTCACATGGGAAATGTTTCCGCCCATCCTCCAGCACACCACCAGAGAACAGGAGGGTTGCAGTGAAAATCTGCCTTTTGACACCTGCATCGTTGTGGAGAACAGCACCCCAAGCGATTGGGCAAGGCACACAAGCATGGCCACAATGAGGCTGGCTACTACAAGTCTTGAGCCGGTAGATAAATCTTCATCATTTATGATACGATGAGGATAAATAATCTGCCTGATCGAAACCCAACGGCGTTGCACTCACTGCCGATCATCTTTGTGCTTAATTTTTTTGTTCTTCAAAATTTGTGTCCTCCTCACGATATAATTTCTGAAAGCTTCAGTTTGATTCCCGCGCGGAATCTAAGGTTGTAAGCAACAGTAGCGCTATCTGCGGACTTTAGCCTAGTTTCTCTTTGCCCAGCACATATTTCAGCAGCATCCAGCAACATCCTGCTTCATGTAAGTGCTTCTCACCAACTCGTTCATACTTGCCGTTATTAAACGAACCGGCCCTTTTTGGTTCAATCGGTTCCAAATTCAAGGCCATCCGTGCCGTGATTTGGGTTGACTCGCATATATCGGTAGTACAATCGAAATTCCCGTCACACCATCTCAGTTCTTGTACATCATGGACCCAATCAGCGCCGTCGGAATAGCTCTCAGTGTAGCATCCTTGGCTGGTCAACTGTTTACAGGATGCATTCAAGGTACACGATTTCCTTGATTTTTCGTGTCAATTTATTGGATGTTGATTTTGCTATTATCAGGGATTCAATTTATCATCACAGCAAAGAATGTACCTGAAGAGTCAAAGTACTACAATTTGAGATTGCGAATGGAACAGCAGAGATTATTTGCATGGAGTGAGACTTCCGGTCTACTAGACCTTGAGGATCAAAATAGCCAGAAAATCCGCGAATCCAATACATTTGTCATTCATCGGACCACCATCCTGGATCTTCTTGTTCAAATTGAGTGCTTATTCAAGGAATTTGAGAATGCCCAGAGAAAAAATAAGCATCTCAAGGTTGTCCTTGACTTCGTGTCGGATGAAAACTTTATTGATCCAGCCAAAGATGCCTCCAGTGCTAATGTACCGCTGTCCGAATCGAGAAGGAAATTCATAATGAAAGCTATGAAATCCCTCAAGAAAAATGCTACAGATCATGTTACCGAAGGGGCACGACGCCTTTGGTGGACTGCTTTCGACAAGGAAGCATTTGAGATGCTTCTTCAGCGATTCTCCACACTAAATGATAACATGACGAATATCCTTGACACCCGTTTGCAAACTGAGATTCATCGGACGACTCAAGACACAAACCGAGGAGTACTACAGCTCCACAAAGACCTTTCCTCTCTCTGCCAATTGGTAATGGCTCTGGATATCAAGATTGATGCCCGGACAAACTACACTCCATCAATCACACATGAGTATGGGGACGACAACAGCTCAGGCTTGAAACTCTTATCCCAGCTTGCCAAATTCAAAGCATTCAACGAATCAATAAATCCCACAACCGAAAGCTCAACTTGGGATGAGGCAACAGGAGAAGCTCTCTCATTGGGAAGACCTGATGATGAGAGAGTGGGTCTCCAGATCGACAAGTCAAGCATCAAGTTTGCTCCTGGTGAAGCTTCAATAGAAGAAAATGCTATTAGATGCGAGGCTACATATTTCCACGACGATATTGAAGAACCAGTATGGATCGAATGGAAAGAATACGATTGTAGCCCTAACGCTACCTCTCCGTCACGCCTTATAATGGACCGTGTCCAGAAACTTGCTGCACTCCTTCATCATGAGCCAAAACCAGAAGCTTTTCGTGTCCCTCATTGTCTTGGCTATTTCGATAATCTTGCACCCCAACCTACTCTACTCTCTACCGAAATCTCTAGCGACTCCGAAGAAGATGAACCACCAGAGGCACGCATTGGACTAGTCTTTCGGAAGCCATCTTCGATCAATACCTCGCCCGTTTCTCTCATTCAGTTGTTCTCAAATTACCCCAAGCCACGCATCACAGATCGTATAAAATTAGCTCACGCACTTTCAAATTGCTTATTATATCTACATTCCGTCAATTGGCTGCATAAAGGGCTTCGCTCGCACAATGTGGTATTCTTTCCAGTTACATCAGAGGATGATAGACCTCAAATGGTGATTTGGGACCAAGTATATTTAAGTGGCTTTGACTTTGCCCGACCAGCAAGGAAGGATGAAACGACAGAAGTTCCAGGAGACGGTGAGGAGCATAATATGTATAGACATCCAAGTACCCAAAACATTGGATTCGGCCCAAGAGAGAGTAAGTTTTCTTTTCCCCACAAACGTGATGATCGGTGATCCTGATGATAATTATAGGCTACCGAAAAAGCTTTGACATATATAGTTTTGGTGTGGTATTAGTTGAACTGTGTTTCTGGAAATCAATAACAGAGATCGTGACTGTAATCAGCGAACGACCATCTAAAAAAGCCAAAAATGTGCAAGGAATTCTCATGAGCGAGGACATGCTATCAAAAATAGGAGCAGAAATGGGCGAAATAGTAGAAGAAGTTGTAAAAAAGTGCATAGTGGGAGGCAACGAGTTAGGCATAGAAGATGGAGAAGATGAAATGGGCGATGAAAGAGTCGCATCAAAACTCGGAAGGAAGTTTTTCGAAAACGTAGTCAAAAAGCTAGGCGATGTCAAAGTCTAAAACATAGACGTACCTCGGAGTACCGATACATATGAAGCCTCAAATGAAGTAGATGCTGCAAACCTTCAGGCCGCGGTTGAATATCAATGAAACCTTTCGAAACAGCACATGTTGTGCTCAGAAGAGCACATCTAATGTTCTCGGCTGCAGCTTCCAAGCAAATACCTACATATATTGGGTAAAAATATCTGCACCCCAAAAATCCCAAACATTGCCAATCCAAGATCTAACAGTTGATCACAAGATTAATGAAAAGTTACCTTCATAGACGCCATACCCAGTTTCTAAATCCATGCCGTCTATTTTATAAATACTACGACTCTCTACTATCAAAATACGTGTATGTCAGCAGTACCGACATCTTACACAACATTTCTATAAATTGAGAATCTTTATTTGGCCCCTACTTCGAAACCCCAAGAAATAGTCCTCATGCTAACGGTCCCAATGCATAAAAATACATACCCTATCCAGCCCGCACTTGCGGTGAGTATGAAGATCGTTAGGTGTGCATAGTATATATGCACACACGGCTCATCCAGAACACAAATAGATGGAGCTGGTGAAAGTGATCTGCGTAATACATTCAAGTGTAGATCAAGATTCTTGCCTAAGCCGCTGTGGCGCCATGGTGTTCACGAATTGTCACAGTGTATACTCAGTATCTGTATATCATTAGCATCTTAAGACTGAACATATTGCATATATGAACATAATCTCACATATATGCAATATGTAATCTGCAGCTACATATTTGGTACTGTGCCGTGTAAACACAGCATGAGTGCGTACCTGGGCTGGAATTTTATGGGCTGGGCTGGGATTGAGAAGGCGGTTGAGAGTCGTATGATTTGAGGTTGTACAGCATGGTTGGGTACGTATAGATGTACCGGAATCCATGTTAGGACTTCCTCAAGCTCCTTTTGACCGAATGGTAAATGCGTAAATATCTGTAGATATAGCTCAGCTTGATATTGTAATACCTGCCTCCGCTATAACTTCAACCATTATAAAATTATCGTCTCCTCTTCATCTGCTTTACATACATCCAGCACAATACATCTAATCTCCTCCAAATCTTCCACATCTCTAGCACAAACACATTTTATCTTCTGTACATGTACATCCCCGGAAGAAAACGAATCTATAGTGCAACATTGTAGGTGCAGTAAAAACGAGATACTTATCTCTGTTCCTCGTTACTTTGTATCACGTTCCGCCTGATTTGTGGTATTGATGTAACTTGTACTCGAGCCGGCTGAATCCGGATAATCTTCCTATATGCTGTGTTCAGATAGGTATGTATAGCCTGAATCTGGGAAAGGGATATGTACACAGATTTATTTATGTATGGATGGATATCGATGTGGTGGGACCGTGGGGTCAGAATATGAGGAGGTGAATGGAGAGATTGTGAAGATGGTGGAGATGGGTAGAGGGTTTGGTGAGAGGATGGGCTGGAGAAGTCAGATGATGTAGATGGTAGGCTCGAGCGTACTGTAACGTTTGGCTGGATGTTTTGTGGATGAATGGATATATGGATGACGATTTGACTATGGTTTGTATGTAGTAAATCCCAAATTGGTGTATGTAAGCTCATGATTAGACGGCTCAACTCAGGCTATTATAGGGTTTCAATAGTTTAGTCTGCCATGCTATAGTATCTTCGTATGATATACTGAAACTATCAGGAATCTTGAAGTAACTTGGAAACTCGATTGTATTAGAACGATATGCAGAGCTGAGTATGTCCTCCGAAAGCTCCTGAAATAAATACAAAACACCAAACCCACGAATATTTTGCCCTCGAGTTCCGGACTCGAGTAAGGATACAAATATAGACAATCCTCGCACCTATATATGTACAACGCTGTGTAAGCACCACGTCTGATCACCACACTTTCCAAGCCCTGCCACCTTCCGTGTCTGCCGCATTATAGTACTTCATTCCCAAATAAGAAACCTCAAGCCACAGACGCCTCCAAACAAAGAATTCTTTTTCCTTCACCAAACAGCAATTTTACCGTCTAAAATACATAGAACCCAAACCTAGAATCCTGTATACTACAATAATCGCAATAAGAATGCCTACCCATTCACCAGTCTTGCCAGTCTTGTATCCACTGTGTATTGTTAGTGAGATCTAGAATGTGATTATAGGAAAACAGACGTACTATTGATCCAAAACTCCTTTTCCGCTAATTTTACATTGCGGTGCGAGATCGGTGATGTACATGCAGTGACAAGAACTTCCACAGGAATATTCTCTTTCTGAAAATTCGTTCACCATCATTCCTTGGAATACATATGTCTATTTGCATGCATTAGCATTATTCTCCTCTCATAAGCACAGTTGGTACAACATTGATGTGAATGGAAAACCGGAATAAACATACTTGATAATCAATGTAATGAAAAACGTATCTCCAAAACACATTGAGAATATGTGGAGGTACCAAAAATCCACCCACACTCATCCAGAGTCCATTTGCAAAAGCAGTAAGAGCAAGAGATATGACGAAAGATGGGAAGAGTGAAGATACAAGAACGACGAGCGATTCGGCAGCGAGGAGATCGAGGAAAAGCCACATTATCCAGGTGAAGAAAGCTGTGCCAGTGGGTCGGAAGTTGCTGAGAAAATAGGTCGTTACTGAGAAGAGGAACGTAATGAGGACTAGATATGATGTTAGTTAGGTGCGGAAAACCTTGGCGAGGCACTTACATAGATATGGTAAGCCTATGATGAAATTTGACAGCATGAATGCTGTAGGTCCATAGAGACCATTTGCTCGTTCCTTGATAAATGTAGAACGATCCTCAAGGAATGAAGGAACATAAGCGACAGCCATAAAAGACATGAATGCGGAGCCGAAGAACTAGATCAAGTTAGTTATATAGGTCATCTGATTAGGTAGTTGCACTCACAATAGCATTAATGAAAGGTTGAATATCACTTTGATCTGTCTTTAGACGCAACCAAACTGTACCCATCATGATAGCAAGTCCCATATACATCGCAATACGAATGCCGTATGCGACCACATCTCGATAACTTTTGATAAATGCTCTATGAACTAGTGTCATCAATACATTGAAAAATCCACCGTCTGATGAATGAGTCACCGGTAGAGGTTTGACATTTTGCAATGTATGCTGAATCCTGTCGTGCATTTGTCGAAACGCGGGGGAGGTCAGCCAGGAATCCTGGATTTTTAATAGTCTGGTCTGCGCTTCTGTCTGGTTGGCTGCGAAATCAGTATTCAAGAGATCGAGAAGGTATTCTGAAGCGTTCATGTGAAGTGGAATTGTGTATCCTATGGATTCGAAATGTGAATTGACTTCTGACACGGGGCCAAAGTAATACGATTTTCCGCCAGATAACAACATCAGCTTATCAAACAGATGAAACGTGGATGTAGAAGGTTGGTGTATGCTTGCTATAACAATCAACTAGAAAATTATGTTAATATTGCACCTGCAAAGAAAAGAAGGTGGCTACTAACATTGTTTCGTTTCGCAACCTCTTTCACGAAAGACATAACTTCCCAGCTTGCCGCGGAATCCAGACCGGACGTGGGTTCATCCAAGAAGAGAAGTTTAGGTCCAGTGATGAGTTGACTTGCAACGCTCACTCGTCGTTTCTGACCACCACTAATACCTTTCTGGATTGGAGTCCCAATAATAGTATGCGCTTGATTACGAAGACCGAATGATTCTAGCAAGCCCCTGATCCGCCTCATTCGCTCGGTTTTTGTCAATGAACTAGAAAGAAATTAGCTTGTAATGTTATAGTCTAGGTGTTAGCAACCATACCTCTTATGAGCAAGACGAGCCGCAAAATTCAGTGTTTCTTGCACAGTCAAAGAGCCTATAAGGGCATCCTCTTGTTCAACGTATGAACTCATATCTCGAAAGGCTTTCATCGGTGGATTTGATCCATTGACCAGAGTTTCTCCTGTTACAGTCGCTTTCGCAGCTGCAATTCTGTGGGCCAGAACATTCAGCAATGTAGTTTTTCCACAACCGCTAGGTCCCATCAAAGCACATATTTCTCCTACGGATTCATTAGTATTCTGCTCTTAACTTGGTTCAAGCCTCTGCGATAATACTACTAACCAGCTTCGACTACACCACTAAGGTCATCTAGAATCGCTTTTGGTTCTTTCGTTTTGTAGTCTTTCACAGTGACGGTGACATTTTTCCAGATAAGGTTCCGAACAGTAGTATTCTTTAAATGTTCATCATCGACAGCTGCTAGTTCCACATCGGTCATGAACTGATTACGAAGCTCCATGTCCGAATCTTGCTCAGCTTTTCCCGAAGCTTGTGAGAGAGTGCTGGTCGTCGTGTCTGTCATAATGCGATCTGACCCAAGCCCGAAATTGTCTACCACCCTTCTGAAGAGATATTCGGATCCCGATCTCGAGTGATCCGATATTCTTTGAGAGTTAAAGTTTCAAGCACGAAGTCCTTGTTGAATAATTGTTTCGAGCTTTGTTGGAACCTCTTTCTTTATAGGATGTCGTCGATCTTGATGTTCTGGTACTCGAAGAGAATCGAACCAAGAAGTGAAAGGGTCCGTATCTCGGAACTGATTATTAACTTGACTCAGAGGAATGTTTGAAACTATGTTGTGAGACTTCGATTTCTGCAAATGAGTTGATTCGACCCTGTGTTTGAAGCAAATCGAGACATTTCTTTAACGTAGGGTGCACAACCTTTATATTCCATATTTCCTCTTCCGATACTTAATCACTACATGGTCAAATGTTGCGTCAGACAGAACTTTAAAAATCCAAAATTGGCTAGATACTATTCAGCCAGTCGTACAACATAAGCGCAAGCATTCCAGCTCTGACACAGTGATATCGTATGATATCGCAACACAAGGAAACGTCGGAGATACAAAACTTCCTTAGCATGAACACTATTATATGGAGAATTCGCCGACCGGAGAATACAAACCTTATAGCATATTAGAATTATAGATATAGGAAGCCAGGCAACAAGTTACAGCATTTAAAAGTCCAAACGTAAATCTGCAGGTCCCCGATTCCTGTGTACGGAGTAGGTCAAGCAGTGTAAGCGAAGTTCTTGGTGGGGTATATGAGTGAGTGCCACGGAGAGCTCTGAGCTCTCCTGGGAATTGGGAATTGGGAATTTTAGGATATTTGATACTTGGTAGAGGTGGGGCCGAGTAAAAATAACGATCTTGCATTCATCCCAAAGCCTCTTCACTAGTTCTAATCTTCAACGTGCTAGGGCTTAGCGAGGTCACCGAGGAGGATCCACCGACTCCGAGGTGCTAAGTAACCTTATGATAAGCATGGTAAGCTACTACCACTACTACCATACCATTCGACTAACAAAATACTTCGCCGACACGGCATTCAATGGATCTCTCGGCCTATTGACGTAAGTATCGAACTTGAGAGATGGGGTTGAAATACATGAGGATATAATCATCTACTAAAAGATCACCACGTGTGCCGACAAGAAACGTGGTAATGTTCATGATTGGAACAAATCAAATCCCGAAATAAAGAGTTCATGAAACTAATATTGGCCAGGTCGTCAGATCAGCTCAGTCAATTCTACTCCATTGGCTTGATATCTTCATGCATTTGACGTGGCTTAGATGGTCATAATCGCATATGGTGGTGGAAATTTTCAGAATTGGGCATGCATAAGAAGTAACCCTATGCAACCACAACGTTCATCGTACTGACCGTTTAATAGTCAATATGCAGTCTCGCCGACCATATGGATTTATCTTGAATCGTGCAATATACTGGTGGCCAAATATTGGAATGCAATCTCGCCGACCAGAAAGATCCACCTGACTGACTCAACGGTGACAACGGTTAATAACGATTACGGAAAAACATCTAAACGCTGTTAGTTAGGACAGCATCAGTCATCTGGCTCTTCGATCCTTGCACCTCCTGGAGGCCCGACCTCCTATTCCAGAACAGTTTCCATACCAAGAATTTCGAATCCCCTATGGCTAGCTTTTGGAAAACCCCTTCGACGCCACCTCTGCTTAGGGTTCTTATCTTCTTGATATTTTTCATTTCCCTTCGTAATGGAAACTATCTTTGCCACCATATCCCAGATAAATAAATCATTGGTAATTTCAATGCTCTCGGAAGTTGTGTTTATCTCGTTGATCGTAATATAAGCTGTACGGGTGATCTCTCTCAAGACTTTAAGCCATGGTATTGTAGGTCAAAAACGCGGTCAAACTTCTTTGATTTCATTCGCAGCCATCTTCTATGAGAAGTATAGCCTAGAAGAGAAGGCACCACACAAGGCATGTAACATTCTGAAGTCTCAAAGTGTATTCAATGCATTCACAACTGTTCGTACGTCTCAGCGCTGTTCAGAATGGTCTTAGTGACAAAAATATACCTAAAAGTCAAGAAGAGGGCCATCAAAAATTCCAAATTCGTGATTCGCATCGTGCTAGATATTAGATGACTCGCAAGTGCGTGAATACCCAATTACGTTTAGGATATTTCGTGTGAGACACTTGCTAATGGGTCCTGTATTCAGTGAATTGACCTTCAGGTCATCCGCTATATGATTGGTGACATTAATGAAGGGGTTGATCTAGGCTTTCGCCATGCTGGTCTGAGAGACTATGAGCCCTTCCCCTATTCTATCCAAAAAGGAGTATCTTCAGGTCATAATCATTGAAAATAAAAGAACAGTTAATACCTCCTTCTCTTCAATCCAACGAAGAGGCCTCCATCCAAAACGGCGTTCACATTGATAATCAAAACCTTGCCAATAGCCAGTCACAAGCTCTAAGTTAATCATAGCATCCGCCTACCAAGCCTTTTCGAGCTGCGAACCATGCATCTAGGATCAAATCCATGTAAGATACCTGCACTCTATGTATCTCGTTCAAAGATTCAAATCACTAGTCAGCCAATGCCAGCAAGAGGGCTTGGCCCGCTAGCAATTACCATATCCTTAGATTTCAGATACTTAAAATTTTATACTCACTTTGGGAAGCCCCCCGCCCCTCCCCACCCCGAATACGTGCAATGCAGCCATTATTATTATTATTTTTACCATAATTGAGCTTAATTGACTTCAATGGTAACTCCACGTTGATGTACACTTCTCCAGCAACCGTGAATGGTCTTCCCTTCACGGGGATCGCTGTCGCTGCCAAGTGAGGATCTTCACTAATACAGCACATAAGAGCATCGAATCAATCCTTCTATTCACTTGAAGAAGCTGATTTTCGAAGCACCAAGGCTATAGTGGCGAATTGCATTCGCAACCCTAAAATTTTCCTGAAAGACAATGAATGCACTGCTGCAAAAGACAAAATCTGGAATGAGAGAATCTCTACAAACACTAGTGTCACATGCATTAGTCTGTGTCATTCTTAACGAGCCCGAAGTAAGATCAATGAGTTTCCACATTTAAACATGAAGAATGGAAAAATAGAATGGTAGTCGGTTTGATATTCGTCCGGCCGGTTTTCAGCCGAATTCCAGGTGCCCGAGACGGACGTGAGTGCGCTTTGATCAATGTGTACACAGCCCGTGTTAGGCGAGAAGAGGGTAGTTGATCTAGGCTCGACCAATTGTAAGATTATCTTACATCTTGTTTTAGTTGTCCAAATATCTCATATATACTACAAAATGTGTCGTATCTACAAGGCGAGCTGGATAGTGAACCAATTCCTAAACACCAAATAAATTTGGCCTGAATTAGGCACTGCATTGCCGTGATATGGAAGAAAGCTTACTTCGTCGTAACACATGATCTAGAAAACATGGGCTATGATATCTACCGAGTATGTACAACTTAACCTCGCTAACTTTTCGACTTGCGTATAGTCCTGCAAAGCCCCTCAGTCCTAGTCCCATAGAATTTATCACTTTTCACAATAAATTCATATATTTCAAGATGTCCATGGATGGAAGAAGTTAACACTGCCGAAGCTGAGAGTATTGGCAGCAATCAATCGTCCACATTAAGTTAGTTACGCATCCCAAATCTTTGGATAGTAATTGAGCTAGACCAACAAAGCAGGAACGGGACTCCCGTGAAAGACTCTTTAGGTGATGCTGCTCATTGTTGCTTCTACGATGCTTTTTGACCATGTAGTAGATGGTCAAAGAAGCACTGGTAGCAGATTTTCTTTACATAGCCAAAGAGCGGGTTGATAAATCTCATATAACCGAGAAATGCACCTTGCCCTGTGTAAACACCATCTAGAAGCCCTTTCTCCTATCTCAAATACTAGCACAACGTTCACAGCATTTGCTTTATTGCACTAGGCGATTAAGAGCATGGTATATATCTACATAACTCTTCAACACAATTAGTGATCTCTCTAGTATAAGAGTAAGATTTGCATACTCTCCTTGCGCTATTATAATATTACCCAGCTAGCAATACTAGCAGAGATGTATAATGCAACAAATAGCACCTTGTAGACCTCTTTTCACTAGAATAAGGTTGATGGAAGAGCTGAAGGCTCGGAATGGAGATGGATGTTTGATGTTTGATATACAACGTCGATTTTTGATGGCAGATGAGATAGGAGATGTAAAGAATGCGACGCAGAAAATATAACGACGCACCCTTGAATATGTAAGGACGGATGCTAGTGGGAGTCGCTATGCCTGTGTGATTTGCCTAGCAAACGGAGGCTTAGCAATTAGGCGGAAAAGTTAAGTGTTAGAGACACGACGTCAACTTAACCTTAGCAGCGCTATGGCGGGGAACTTTCGGATGACTGGATCGCTAGTAAGGGGAAAAAATATCAAACAATCTGAAAATTTATGATAGTTATATACACGGATATATTGCCGAAGATCTTTAACAGGAGCTTAGATATATCAACCACGCCGCTGAAGCTTTTGATAACATGTAATGCGGCTGGTATTTACCCTTGCACTCTTTGTCTCCTTGGGGACCCATTTGATGCTCCAGGGGCTGATAAGACACATACATACAATACATAAGGTCTTAATGTCTTCCGAAAGAACGATTGAGGATAAACAATAGCTTCTTTAAATAGCAGAACATGCGGTAAGATATTTTTTTTCGAGCCTGTCTCTTCTTTCTTTTATTCCAACAAGCCCTTTGATTGCGTCAATATCAAAGTGTCTGTACCGAAAATTAGGAATTTCTCCTAATCTTACATCCGTTGTTTCATATGGCTCTGCTTGTATATGGCTTTACGGAAGAGGCTTAAAAGGATCGAAGGGAGAACTAGAAGATTAGGATATTCAAATGAGTAGAAACCCCTTCAAAAAAATCAAAAATTTCAATAAGGCGCAAAAGTCAATACCTTCCATCATCAAACTAAATATTCCCCGAACTTTGAAAATCCTCCTACAGACAAATAGGATTCAGAGTGAAGATATATTTTTTGGTACCGAAACCCACGACACTGCAGTGAAAACAATATCGATACCTAGTTGATATTATTGAAGCACATTTGGATGAGGTATGGGCCCTAATTATAGTGAGACATACGTTTTCGAGAATTAATATAATTCTGAAGTTCCTGATTCCGTTTCTTACTTATATAACACAGGATGAAAGGAGGAGAAGGAGGAGAAGTAGAGTGGTGATAATAGACATAAATCTATAGGATTGAGGTTTGGGTGAAAGGAAGTCGTATTGTTGTAGTATAATAACCTACCTACTAACTATGCCACTTCTCGAACAATTTTATTTTCTTTCTCGATCTCTCTTCCTTTTTATCCTAATATACTGTTGGTACTCACACAATAGTTTCCATCATTTTCACCTTAGCCTGTCATTTTTCTCACACAAACATCTTGCTAATACTGGCCTCTTCCTGGTGTCGCATATTAATCATTTCCTTTATAATGGATTGTTCTCGTTTACAATAGGTATAACTTGGTTTCTCAGTGTGGGGTGACTTGGGAGTTCTGGAGAGTACCACGGAAGAATACAAGCAACGAGCTACTCATCAAATAACCAATGATGTAGATGATTTGTGAGATTCATGAATGTAACACAATCTTCCAAGTGGCGAGATTCGAAATAATATGATACTTAAAGGAAAGTAAGTTCTGCAGTACAGTCAAGGAGTCGATATCCTAGGATTAAGGGTATGTGAAGGGTAATATCATATTATCCCGTCAATCACGTATTCATGATCATGCTCAGCAGCATCCCATGTAGTCTTGTTTGCGCTTATATTTGTTCCCGTTCCATGTAGCTACACCAGGCCGGTATCTCAACCCAATTAATCTCATGGGTTAAAGTATATTACCCTTTTGTCTTTGGCTCAAAGGAATTTTAACACTGAAATGATATGAAAATTGAAAGGAGTTCAGACTGAAATCACTTCAGATACTGAAATAGTTTTAGACGCTGAGAGGAGATTCTTTTGAACTTTGACACTCTTTGAGCACTAAAACCATTTCCCACTATTAAAACAAGCGAAGCATTGAAGTCCTTTAAACATCCAAATTCTTTTCAAGCTAGTCGTTTAATACATCGAATCAACACTAGAGATTTAATGAAATGACACTGCTAGTAAACATTGGACTCAGCCAATTATACAGCGATTCCACTTCATTTACTTCCTCCTCAAACAAATGGAACTCCTTGAAGCAACTTCTCTACTCCTATCTTCTAGAGAACATCCAAACTGAAACTCCGAACTCCTAGCTTCATCAATATTATTGTCCATATAACACTGAAGGATTCATGACATGTGGTTCCTTCCCCCATCTGTACTCAGGTTACCGTTCCGAATCCTCCATCCCCGTTCCCATGTGCCACGCTGCATATTTCGAACTTCCACGCGTTGCTCATCCTTCGATTCCTTCCACATGCAACGAAATCCATCCACAATCAACTCAATGAAGATAAGGTACCCAGTGCCGTTTTTATGAGACCGGTATAAACCCTGGTAGTGCCTTATCGTGCATGTCATTGCAGAATCCTTATCATGCAATGCAACGACCAAGTTTTCTCAAAATATATTTGGAATTGAGCATAGCAGCCATCATGGTAATTTTTACGATATTTGGGGCTGCTCGCCACTTTAACAAATTGATTTTCTGATGGTGTAAATCACCTGATGAGTATCCGATCAGGTCGGCTCTTTCGCTGGGGTAATATTGAAGTTATTCACACCCCAAAAATCGCAAGTCTTATTTCTCTAGCGAACAAGACAAAAGGTCCAAAGGTCTAGAATCCTATGACTTCCTAACTACTTTCAAAGATCGGGCTTCCAATCTTCCATCGATAATTCCACAACTCTGTAGAAGAATCCACTCGGTTCCATTCTCTATGATATTATGGAGATCAACAGCATTCATAAACAAAGATTTACATTGAAGCATCAGCAATGTAAATAATTGGCAATAGTGTCAAAAGCAAATAAAATAACAAGCCTATCTCAGATCTTCATATCTCATCTCCTTTGTCTCTCAACAAAATACCAAAGCTGAGACTTCCATGGGCGCTCGGACCATATTTCCCATTCGCACTAACGAAAGCTTATTTTCTCGCTTATTCTCTTTCCCCAGCTACCCAATGCATCTCTGCAATGTTGCCCTGCCAAATTGCCCAGACCAAATTCTCGAATCATATCGTCATACTTCATCCCCAGCCAACATCAATCTATTGATCCACCATATTCGACACCAAACCATCAACATCAATACCTTTACCAGCTCCACACATCCAAAACCATCACCGAAAAACCCCAGGACTAAACCACAGCAACCATGCCCACCACCCGGCGCAGCAACGGCCCCGCGCAAAAAGGCACCCAAAGAACCCTCTCCTTCAACAACTCCACCAAAATAACCAAAGCCAGCACACCCTCCACGCTCACAACCAAAAATTCCCTCACCAACCCCCCATCCCTTAATCCCTCGAAACCTTCCCCAGAAATTAAAGACATCACCACCGCAACCGAAGAATCCACACCAAGCAGTACACCCCGACCCTC